TAAGCAAAACCCCGCAAAAAACGATCAGACTTCAGCCCTTCGCGCTTCGGTGTTTCACACACAACGTGGTTTGAACTGGGTACAGTATCTGCTTCCAGTTGGCTCGGCCCTTCTGCAACTGCTCATCGCGGAAAATTTTGAAACCTCGAGCCCGCCACATTCAAACAACAGAAGTATTCAAACAAGTAATTCAAACAACAGAAGTACTGCACATCGAATGAAGGACCTCGGCCTTACCTTCCCAAACAAGTCCAATAACATGTTTCAGGTTGATTCTAATTGTTCGTGTTAGTGCGTGTAACCCTTGGAATCAAAGGGGTGTTCCGTCTTTGTTTGTGTAGCTTTTGAAATAAGCAGGAGGCACGGAGACTGATTTCCTGAACAAAGCTACGGAAATCAGTTCGAAGGGAGTTGGGAGTTGGGGCGCCAACTTTTGTACCTGCGCTTTGATTTTGATGTGATGTTTAGTAGCCACCTGCTCCTCCAGCTGACCAGGCTATTTGGGTTGCTCTCAGGTTGGCAAATGTGAGCGTGCGTCGTCGGCTTCGTCGTACCTTTGAAGTCATTTGGAACTTTTGGAAGCCCTGGACCTCTTTCAGGATTTGACACTCGCATGTCATGATCAAAGCGCCTTACTTGTACTTTCACCTGGTTTCTTAGGTTTTTCACTTTGGTGGGCGTGTGGCAAACCGCAATCAGTTCCGTACACAATATCCTGAACGCACAGGTGAAGTGTCAAGCCGAGCCACACCCTGTTAAAATGCCAATAAGAGTGACAAAGCTCAGGATTGCAACAGCGAAGCCATTCAGCCATTCAGCCATTCAGCATTGTACCCAGTAGCAGCAGATTTGCAGGCTTCGCAAGTGTGTTCTTGCAAGCTTCAAAGCGTCAAGCCACATTCATGACCAGGAGAGCTGCATCCCAACGGCACTACTAGAGTGGAGGCAACGCACGGCTACCGACGAGACGACCCAGAGCCGCCAAGAGCCCTTCAAACGAAAAGGAATGTACAAAATCTATCAAAACTTGCCAGTCGAAGTCGCCAAGTTAAGTCTGCCACAACTGAGCAACACCCAAACTCGTTCCGCAAAACGAAGCCCAGCCATATCAAAACAGTACATATATATATATATATATACTTGAGGAGTGAAACTTAGAGTGGGGAAGAGTTCCGTGCCTACTTTCCTTATAGAGTTGGAATGGGTTCGGGCCTGCTGCCGTAGTCGAGTAGTAGCAAATCAGCAACTTAGAGCTGAAACTTAGGATACCGGACTGGAACTTGGAATGGGAAGTCATCCTAAGCTTTCATGAACGGTTGAATCATGAAGAGAGACATTCTACGTTTTCATCGCCCCAATATACGCATGGTTTTTACTTGTTTTTGATCCTCAGGAGAGGCATTCTAACTCTTGCAACCACACCATATGCATGTTTTGAGGGTTTGCCGTTCGATCCGGTCGTTTTTCTTTCCTTCTGCGATCCACAACTCCCCATTCTAAGTTCCAGTCCGTAAGTACAATTAGATAGAAACAACATGAAATGCATGCATAAAGCCCACAAAACATTCCAAACACAGCGACAGGATGCATCAGGAAGTTTGGACACGACTTTAACTAAACCACATCAAACAATGCTCCTCAGAAAAAGCTTGTTTGGTTCAGTCAGTTCAGGGCCGTTGCCTGGACGACGCATGTGCTGGAACACTGCCGCGTCACAGTGCTGTTCAGATGTTGCCTGGCAACAGCCACTCCAAGCGCTCAGTGTATGCTTGCAGCTTGCTGCACGATGCTGCACCCATGTTTCCCACAAATACAGTCAATCACCAAACAAAGCAGTTGTTCCATACTGTTTTTCCCTGCTATGACGCTATTTGCTATGCTATGTTTGCTTCATCTCGCTTTGAATCTACGTATGACTCTATGACAAATTCTAGAATGCTTTCACACACCTCTCGGCTGTAAGAAGTGCCTGCCTGGTAGATGCCATTTGTCTCCTCGCAGCGGGCATCGGTTCGGGAGCTGTGAAAGACCAAGTCCAAAGTTGGTCATGAAGCCAACAAGAAACTGACTTAGTTTATCTTAGTTTGGATACAGTTTCGAAAGCAAAGCTCCTCGTAACCAGCAGAAGACAAGAGCAATGAAGCTGGGCCATCGGCGCCTGGGCCATCAAGCTGAGCATTGCGGAACACAATCGACAAATCCCTCCACTTCTCTTCTTTTTTGGTCAACACGAGGACCGCCTGTCTCCAAAACGGTCCCATAGGGCACTCGAGCTTTGTATCCTGTTGCAAATCAGAACTTCAGATTCTGGATGAGCAAATACCAAAGAAGTTGAGTTTGGATTGATAAAGAAAGTGCGCACAAAGCTAATGTATGTCATTTTTGGCTCTAGGGCAAGTACGACACATTACGAAATCAAAGGACAAAGGAGAAGGAGGCAATCGACTCAACAATGCGACGGGTTACTCGATGAACAAAAACTGGCCTTGAGCTGCTCTTCGCTTGGTGTCTTCATAGGCACGGATCGGAGGTTGGATCATTCCATCGGGAGAAGTGAAGAGTTCTATGCTCCCAAGTATGAGCAGTAGCAGTAGTAGTAGTAGTAGCAGCAGCAGCAGCAGTAGTAGTAGTCGTGGTGGTGGTGGTAGCAGTAAACTACGTTTTTCGGAGCATGCTTTGAGAATGGGGAACACTGAACTGTGGGTTTTAGACGTTGGTGTTGACCTGACATAGTCTAACTGCTTCAGGTGCAAGAATAGCTTGAGCCAGGTGCGAGAGGATCTCTTTCAACTTAGAGAAAATCTTGGTCATAGCATAGGCATGCATAGGCTTAACTACGGGTACCCCTTACTCTTGCAAACAAGAATGTATTATTTTTACATCTTTGCACAAAAAACTAAAGAAAAGAAACTCACGTTCTCTGTCTTTCCAGCAATTTAAGAAAGCTAAGACCCAGCCAGGCCTGTCAGGTCCATCAGTCGGCAGGGGAGCGGTCTCCAACGGACCACTTGTAGATCTGCTTGGCAAACGACCCAACCTCAGGACACGAACGATCCCCAGCAGAAAGAAACTCAACTTTCTTACTGAGTTCTCCAAAAGCCAAACAAAACGCTCTGCAACATCGTCCGGGCAGTGCACCCTGGCTTTGTTTTCGATGTGTTTCTGGAACCCACCTGCGAAACTTCCACAGGCTCAAAAGAACTCGCGTTTTTGGAAAGGCGCCTCACTCCCACAGAGCGAGGGACGGCGGCTCCGTGGAGTTACCTTGCGTGAGTTTGCACAGCGGTTCTCACATGTCGAGTCACAGAAAAACAAGTATAGTCAGAGATATAGAGTCAGAGACAGAGAATGGATGAGAATGGCATCGCCAGCCAAGGCTCCGAGATCGTCGAACGTGCTGATATGCACGTCGCAAATGACCTTCATTGCGGCAAAAAGTTAGAATTCGTTCAGAAGACCCCAATAAGGCTCCTTCTTGCCATGTTGCATGCTAGAACGCTCTAGAATGTGCAGTTGTATTTGGCAAGGCAAGCTGCGGTGGCCAAGTTCAAGCACATAGCATTGATCTAGACTGTAAGAAGTTCTAGGGCACTCTCAGAACTCTCTTTTCAGGCACTTTCTGCACAATCACATTCAACGATGATCCACTTGATTGTGCACTGTCGAAGGGCCTTGCAGAAGAGGGCGAAGGCGGAGTAGCATCCCTGTCCGTGCTAGGCCTTCGAGCACTCATGAAATATGTACTTCTCAAGGCCGCAACCTGGTCTTGCCCCACTACCTTGCGAGCTGAAGAGGCAAAGCAGGCATCACATCTGACCTTAGCACGTCATCCAAGCATCCACAGCATCCATTTACAGAGCATCCAGCCCATTGTGCAAATGAAAACATTGACAAGAATGCTCCGGCATCAACGAGAATAAATAAATAAATAAATATATATATATATAATATGCGTGTAATTGTATAAACAAAGGCATTGTGGTTGAAATGTGGTGTAAGGCGCGCGCTTCTCAGAGTCCGGGCTTGAAGGAATGCCATTGCTGGCCTGAACCAATGGCAGTCTCCGCTCTGCAAACTGCCGTGAATCTGAGATCATCAGGTCTTTTATATAGGTCTTTTCCACTCGAGGAAACAAGCCACTACCAAGCAAACAAGATCAAATGAGCGTCGAGTGCTCCTGTTTGGCCAGGCCATGGAGCAAGCACCTTTGAAGCACCTGGACAGAAAGAAAATAATAGTTTTAACCTGATAGAACTTTGTTCAAAAACTACATATTAATATATATATATAGAATCTAGAACGTTGAGATTGGGAAGGACAAGGAATGACATCCTCTTATATTTGCTGCTTCTCTCGGCGACCACCTTCAGCATTTTACGACACTGACACTTTCAGCTCTTTACATGCCTGGCACTTCACCCACTTCACCCAACGCAAGAGAAACTCAATTCTGTGTCGAACACTGCCTGCTGTCGCACTGCAAGCTCAGTTTGCCATTCCTCCACGGGATTGTGCCACGTGCCTTTTGCCGCGATTCGCAGACAAAAAGATTAGAAAAGATTAGACATTCACAATCCTAGCACCTTCCAGGCCCTTCCAGGATCCGTTCTTTGAAGCCAAAAACCAACAGCCTCCCCTGCAGGGGGGGTCAAGTTCTTGGGCTCTTGCTGACACCCTGCTCAAAGTGGCAGAAGTACTCACCATCCTCCGCCACATATGGCCTTCGGTTAAACACCGTCAAGGCAAGCTCGGCTGCCAAGCGAGACTCTGTCACTGTTTGGCGAAACTGGGCGTCTGGGAATTGGAAGTCTTAGGTGTCTGACCCGCTCCACCCATCAAGAGCGGCTGCTGCCCGGTCATGGTTGCTTTGCAGGTGAGACTGGACCTTGAAGATTTCACTTGAACTACAGCCTTTGAGACTCAACCCTTGCATTCATTCTGCAAACGCGGTATAAAAGCTTAGGTTCTGACAGCCTCCACAATGCTAGCCTCTGGTGGGTCTAGTCTCCTGCTCAACACACGAATCTAATAGACTCTTCAGGGTGGGGCCTTTGCTTTCTCAGCCTGATTGACTTGATGAGCTGGATAAGCTCTCGAAAAACATCATCCTCAGAAGCCAGCAGATTTGGGGTCTTCTCCTTTGAACTTTGAACGTCCACGTTTAAACGTTGGTCCAGGTCTGTGACCAAAGGATGGGACCAGCTGCTTCGCTGGGTGACCTTCACAGCTTTGCATGAACAGGCAAAGAAACTGTCTGCCAAGCCAGACCACGCACGAAGCCCCAAGCCTGGCTGAAGAAGTAAACCCGACCCTCTGGGTCGAAATGCTCCGACCAACCGGAAGGTAAAGGAGCTTCAAACGCCTGAGGTAAAGACGAAGGTAGAAACGACGAAAGTCGGAACCAAATGAGGCGAGATATCTGCGGCGAAAAAGTGGGGGCGGCTGTCACGCAACGGAGCGCAGTTCTTTTAATCCAATACTTTAGATCACAACAGAGATGGCTGTAGATGCATGCTGGCCGTGTAGTATGTGTTACAGTAATTCCTGCGCTCAACAACGACATGCATTCCAAGCACAGTTCACAACAAGCCAAGAGCCAGCTCCTGCTGCTTCATTCTGAATAATCTGCAGGATCCCGCAAACGATTGGCACAGCGCACCTCTTTCGCCACCCAGAGCAAGTCGGCATCTTCTTCCGTGACGCCAAGGCTCTTGGCGTACCTTGCATTTTTATACTATACATCATTGACATGCGTCATCTTTATGGATCTTCGAGGGGAAGGCTCCATCAGCTTCATACTTTTGTCGCCCCGGAGAAAACAAGGAGTAAACAAGGGACGGACGATGCTCTCTGTCTCTCACAAAGAAAGGCCGCAGCATCTCTCACATACCATCTGAAAGCAAAAGCAGCAAAACCTGTTCCCACAAAACCTGCCATTCAGATTAGACGAAAACTAGGAGCCTGACTCTCTGAAGTCTGCTTCTGACTGCCCCGACTCATCACCTTTCGTCCACAATCTGACATTTGCCACGAGGCTTATGAGGCTATCAAATCACCATCTATGTGGATCCATGAACTTTCATTGTGGAGTTCTCACAAAGTGCAATTTTGCCAGTCAGCACTCTGCTCAGACTTGTGTCGCGTCTCGGGCGTGCTTGCCATGATCATGACATTAAGATACATTGAGGCTCCAGGTGCATGTAACGCTTGCGCACGGTTGCGCTTCCAATCTAATCGCAGCATGGTAAATTGTTGCTTGCAAGTGGGTCCAGCCGCTCTACCTTTCTGTGGGTCTCCACTTCTCTTCATTCATGGAGCTGTTAGTTGAGGTGTGGGTCAGTTGTTCTGTGGCCCATACTGCTCCAGTGGATGCAAAACAGGAGTCCCATGGTCCATCTCTGGATTCCTAACGCATCATTTGTAGTTCAAGTGACACTATGCGCAAAAATCAAACTCGGTCCGAGCCCCTCCAAAATACAGGACGCAGCTAGGACGCTTGTCCCACAATTTTGAGGCGGTATCTTTCCGAGGGTTACTTGCATGTCTTCCTTCAAGCTCACTTGTAAGTATTCTTGGTAGAGCATTGTGAATTGGCGCTCCCAAAATAGTAACTTTGTTTGTCGACCTGTTTGGGGGAGATTCATGACAAGTCTTTCTACATCTCTGACGGAACTCAAGGATGTCTTCGCGAGAGCCTGCCTGTAAGTTCAGAGTCACTGCTGAGGCCAAGCTCATCCAAGCTCCTTGGTCCCAGTAAGTTTCGGGCCACAAAAAAACAGAAAGGGTACAAAGTCACATTGGGCGTTGATCGGCATTACTCATTGCTGAGTTGTCGTCATCACCACAAAAGAATGTCACCTGGCCAGTGCCCGTCGGTGCACTAAGCAAAGGAACTCTCTTTCATGACTTTCGTCGTCTACTTCCCCACACCTGGACGGCCTCCAAGGCCGCAGCCACGCATCATTGCTGACTCTGAGCTCTGCATGAACATCAAACATGAAAGTCTGATGTTTCTTAAGCTCTGACTTTGCTCTTGAATACATTCAGCTCCCCACTTCTGTACCGAACAACTGATCACTAGCTGGAAAAACATGGAAAAACTGCAACATGATGGTCAAAAGGGATACGCGTGAGTCTCCCTAGATTCATGGATTCATGTGGGTGGCGGATGCCGAAAGGACCTGCAGAACAAGGGGCTGCATGCGCTCCATTGAAAGCTTTGAGCGTCCAAGCTGTCGTACACTAGATCTCCGACGACCCTGTGCTACAATCTCTAATCTTCACAACTTCTGAGTTCTCTTGGTACTCCGCTGTCTTTACACGGCTTCCAAAGAAAGTGCTTGCAGGAGCAAGGTGAGGCACTTTTTCAATGATGGTTGTGTAACTCGAAGAACTCGGAGTGCAAGAGGCATACTTGTTGAGAGGTTGGTATTGGTAAAGTTTGCAGCCTTCGGAGTTGCAGTCAGCCGTCCAACGCTCGCAGCTGCATTCTCAAACTGTCTGCATAGTTTGGCATAGGTTGACCTCTGGCTCTCCTACAGCGGTATCGACCTCAAAGCCATCTACTGCAAATGCCGCTGCATGTTTCTTTCACACGCTCGGTGTGGCTTTTGCCCCATCTCTACCCAATGCGATCAGCTGACCTTGCGTAAGGTCCACAAGGTTTGGCCAGCCCGGTCTATGCCACTCTGCAACAAGTACACTGGCCCAGCTGTTTTGAATGCCCAAAGCAAACCGCCGTAGTGGTTTCTCAAGATCAGCAACTCATCTGCAGCAAGATCCGAACGAACGAAGTGCTCAATCAATTCGCGCGGAGCTCCACCGAAACAATCGGCATTTTGCCGTACATCGCATGCACCCGCACGATATCTCCAAGTTGACAGCGACACAAGCCTCCGTAGGTCGTCACAACTAGCGCATAACGAGAGCCGACTTCAGCTTCCCAAGCAGGGATGGCAGGCTTGGACGGATCTTCAACCGCGAGCAGCTCAAAAAACATGCTCCCAGGATCCTCGGAAGCGAAATAAATCATGACAACTCTGATCAAATCCTCCAACAACAGCACAACAATCACAATGCAACAACGTGCATTGATCCAGCTGTGCGTAAACAAATTGTGCTCACAGTAACTCTGATCAAGTTTTGCGAAGCGCAAACATCCAATGCATTCCATGCAGGCAAAGCTTCTAAGAGGTAGGTCCATTCCCCGAAGGGCTCCTCAGGGAAAATGTTCACTCCAATGTGGCCATGGGCACTTGAGTACAGCCTTGGTCGGACACAATAGAGTCTCTTGGCCAAGCGTCAGTTTCATGCTGTCCCATGTTGAAATCCTGATTTAAAAAGAAATCTCACAACTGTTGTGTTACTTCACCACTTTGCAACGAAAGCTGTGCTTTGGACATGGTACAGTGTGTGTTGGCTTGCTGGGCTGTATGCTGCTCTAGCCTTATGAGCACTTCCCTTGCATCATGCTACCACTATCTACCGCTGATTCTTCAAGAACCAGCCCGGTGGTGATGAAGCACGTGCTGCAAGAGCCTACAAGGAATGTCACGTACTAGTACGACCGCAAACAATAGACCTGTACTGTGAAGGACCCATGCCAGTCTCCTTGCTAGCCTGCCTAACGCTGTTCACTATGCGAGATTCTGGCAAGCAACGGTGAATAGACTGGCAACTCGGCAAAAGCCTCCTTGCCTTCCGTACTGGTGCTTGTCACTAGCACAGCCTGGCCAAAGGCGGAGTCAGTCAGGTCTCTGGGTTGGGATGCAGCAAGTTTGAAGTACGGTGGAATTCTCTTTCCCACTTCAAGGTCTAATCTAGTTTTGTGAGTCTTGAATTGGACAGTTTGACGTACAAGTCAATTGAAACTTTACAAAGCTCTTTGAGCCTGCAAGTGAGGCCAAAGCTCTCTTGCGCCTGCACCCCGCTTCAGCAATTTGTCCTTGGGTGCGCAAACTCACTAACATCCTCAAGAATGACAAATTGGTTGAACGACGCGTTCTTTTGTTGGTCACCGTTTAGAAGCAAAAACCCTCCTTGAAAAGCTGCAAAAGTAAATCTTCAGGAAAGCTGCAACTTCCAGAGACCTGCGCCCATCTGGGCCTTTTAATGCAGCATCCAGCTCCTTCCGCAGCTCAGGTTGGGGCACATGTTCGGGCAAGCGCCGGTCCCAAAGATGGCCTCGCCAAAGATTGCCACAATTTAATGGTCTCCTCATAAAAAGAATTGAAAATGCGATGCAAGATTCTATGCAAACAAGAACTCTTGTATCTTCATCAACCCTCAATATCTCTCTCGAACGACATATTTGTTGCATGTTTTCGCCTCAAGTCTATTTGTGAAAAGAAAATATCAACTGAGTGGCCGTTGCGAAGGTCTTGGACCAAGTGTCGCCGATGACGATGTGCAGTGGTCATCAGCATGGAAGCCACACCGGCCGAGCTGGCCTGAATCATGTTAAGGTTGCGCTCTTTCAGTGCAAAGAGCGTGTGCACGTAGGATCTGTCCACTTCGGACAGGCCATAAGCAGCCATCGGACTTGTGCACAGGAATGAAAAGGAAAATGGCCAGTTGAATAAACCATGAGCCATCCCTTCTAAGGGTGGAAGGTTGGAATGTAAATCCGGAGTCAGTGCAGTCATCCTCTGAAGTTCCTCCACAACACTGGGGAAGAAGTAGCTGAGAGAAGCAAAAGCTGGCAAGAAACCTCGTTGAATAAAAATGTTTGAGACCTCCTTCATTCCAATATTCTTACCAAAGCTGGCAAAGAGCCTCTCGGCGTTCTCTGGAGAGGACAACGGATGGCTCTCTCGAAACATGTGGTAGGTTGCAACTCCTTCGGGTGCACACAAACAATTGCCTGTTATACGCAGGCAGCTAACAGCTACGTAGAGAAGCTCCTTGAACAGTCATACAATTGGGCTTATGAACTACGGGTTATAGAAAGAAAAGAAAACATGAGTTGTGTCTATCAAAAATCGGAGAAACTCGTCACTAGTCTTCGTGTTCAAAGCCTCCTGAAGGGGTCGTGGTGTGCAGTTGCAGGTTCACTTTCAAGCAGTGCGTCCTTGCAAGCCGTGCTGCAAGGCATACGGACTATCTTGATGCCTTTGCAAAATATCGGCCAAGAGCTGCCTTTGCACCTCCCAGGGGATACCGGGACATAACTTTGGTCTGCGTCTATTTATATATGCATGTTGGCGTACTTGATGGCAGTTCAGTACCAAGTTTTACATGTGCAAATGCGTGTAGAACATGTGTGTACAGAACACAAACTACAGCTGCTCTGTGATATAACAGTGAGTCAAAACCTCCCCAACCAAACAGTGGAAGGTTGACATGTTTGGTAGTCTCTTCTGTTCATGTTCCGTGGTCAACCAAGGTCCCCTGGTTTTGACCCACACCCAAATATTTGTTAAGGTCACTACGGGGCTCGAAGCCTCGTCACCCTGCTGTGCATCCAAGCAAACTCGTTGCAGCTGATATCGCCCAAGTATTTTCAGCAAAGCAAAGAGTGCGTACCTGACACTTTATGTACAAACAGCAAAATCCATGTGCATGGACCCGTTGAAACAACTTGAAACTTCACCTGCTCTCACGAAATGCAGAAGAAAAGCAAACGTATGATTCTGTATGATGTATACAATATAGACAGAGAGAGAGAGAGCAAAAAAACTACATATATAATTATATATATAGCAAAAATAAAATGGATCTGAAGCTGAGAGACTGCTTCATGGCCATAGACCATGTGTGTCGCAGTGACCAATCTCTATTGCTAGCATCGTAGATCACAATGCCACCCAAGCAAGCACACGTGACACGACTGAGGCGGCCCAAGTAGCCTGACATTCGATGCGCCTTGGGCTAGTCACTACTTGGCTGGAGCATTGGGCCGGGCTGCGACAGGCTCAGTTGCAACATATTCAGGCGACTCATCGAAGCCAATGTTGTTTGGCCTTGGAAGGTCCTTAAGCAATTTTGCTTATGTTTGATTGACCAAAGCCGACAGTAAGCATTCTTTTCCCAGAAGAACAGAGTGGGCAATTCAGAGTCCAAGCATCGCCACCTCATCGCATGGCTTTCGACTGCGGTCATGACCAAAACAGCTTGAGGCGACGACAGCCTGCCAGTTCTTTCGGGGAGGCAGGCTTAACGCACAACCTCATGTTGCGATGATGGAACAGTTTGTTCGAAAAAATTGCGATTGCAAATCTCCGAAATGTTCAAAGAGTTTCAAATTTCTCAGACAGTCGCTGCCCGGACGCGCATCTGCTGCATGATGCTCAGTATGGAAGAATTTAACTCAGCCTGCAAAGCGGCAGAAGACTCTTAGCAGTGTGCTAGGCAAGGCAGTGCCAAGAAGCTGATCTTCTTCATTCTTGTTCAAGTCCTAAAGCATCATCAAGTCGGACCCTTCTGTGGCCTTCCTGGTAACTTCGAGGACCTTCGTTCGGGCTTCTTTAGTCTGCTGAGAAACAGTGGAATACGCAGTTGAAAAAATTGAAAAGGGATTAAAAGTCATGAAAATGAAACAAACAAAAAAGGACCAACAAACGGATGGCTCATTCATGTTCATTCACTCTGGCTTCGCGTGCTCACGCTCTGCACCTGCACATGACGCGGATTCTCAGTTGGATCGCTCAACACTGGGATGCCCCGGCGTTGTTGTACAGAGTCGCTTTCAGCGTTGGGTCAAGACCTGAAAGCAACAAATTAGGTTCCTTTTACTATTACAGGTTGGAGGCCATCGCTACTAGGGTGGAGGCCATCGCAATCAGGTTCCGTTTCCTCAGAGCCTTGAGAGCCTCAGGATGTGGCACTCGTTGGCCTCATCCAACAAGCAAAGAGCTCGATCCACAGACGCCTGCCAGTGATGAGCGCCTTACACATTTCACTATAAAACCTTTAAAGGATTCTGTGAGTTTCCGCTCAAGACTCGCCATCGCAAACATACTTACTGCCATCATTCCACTTGCAAAGGTCGAAGTACCAGCCAAGTCTCAAATGTGAATCACACAAAATGTGCCACAATAAATCACATATGGGCTGGCAATGCCTTCTTTCATCGGGATCCAAAATAGCAACATGATGCAAATGGCCGACACCTCTGTGACGGAGCTGCTAGCTTTGCAAAAGGCCTTCACCTCGGTGTACCAAATCTCTACCATCGTATGCCAAGGTGCAGAAAATCAAAAGGGCCAAAGAGCTACTCGGCAAAGTTCAACATTGAACAACCTCTGCTCAGCTGCTCGGAGCTCCTGAGAGCCTCACCAAAATTGAGCAAGTAAACTTGTCGGGTTTGAAGCCACGTTTGCGCATCTCCTCCCACAGAATTTTGCGGGACAGGTGACAGGAACTGCCTTTTGCTTGGAGTCGGCTCGAGAGTTGGTGTCCACTCGTATCCATGCTCGTCTTGTCTTTCAGTCCTGCAGGCGTGTCCAAGCTTCTTCTGGCTTGCCGGCACGTACTGCAGCATCCATCACCTACTGCAACAAACGAACTTACACTTCACTTGGATCGAAAATAGTGAAACGATGTCAAACGATCTTTGGAAGCACTGTGATGGTCCAATCATTCTCACACTTACTTCTAGAGGATGCACCCCATGTGAGGAACACCATGCTGTCCAAATCCGTCAGGTCTATTCTCGCAAGGAGGGTTCGGAACTGTTTCTTGAAAGGCTTGGAGCAAAATGCACAAACAATTTTGTTGCGAGTTTCAGCACTTTGCAGTTTGTAGCTGTCTTGAAGAGCACACTTCAAGAGGCTTTCTTGATCCATTGTAAAGACTCTGAGGCAACTGCCGTGTTGAATGTGATGGCATTGGGACGTCTCTTTTTGGCATGCATCCGCTCCAATACCTCAGAATTTCGACACATCTATGGAGGGAGTGGTAAAGTTCGCTTCTGCCCCTACCTCACAAGCGCCAGAATAATTTGCTCGCTGGGCGAAAGCCTTGATTATGGTGTTGTACGAGACAACCTTGGACGCCGGCCATGGCAAGGCGACAGCTTGAGGAGTAATGGATTTTGTATGTAAGTATGGAATTGAATAGTATGAGTGGAAGTTTATAACTATAATATATACCTGAGAAGGGAGGGGACGAAAGCCAGCCTCTGGCGTAGGGGTGCTCTCAGGGTAGGCCCGGGCAAAGACTTGGCGTGCAAGAGGAAGTGATGGGGTAACATCGGGCAAAGATTAATTTCATGGGGCGAAGTTGACATCGCAGCCACACCGATAGGGGGTAGAAATGGAAAGTAAAAGACATATAGGTCTAGGGGGGGGGCCTTTTTCACCCCGGCTCAGGGGGGAGGAGGTGAAAAAGGGCACCCCTCAGGAAGTGAGGCGCGCTTGCCGGCGGCGTGTTGCGAATCAGTGAGCAGAGACGGCGGTGGGGGTTCATGTGCGAGGCAATGGGTAGGGTAGGTGAGGAGATATGCTACGGATAAAAAAGGGCACCCCTATTCAGGACCTTCTGTCTCCAACGCTTGCCTGCTGCAATCTCTTCTCTCTCCTGCCCCCAACAACCCAATCCACGTGAACTCCCACCACATAGGGGTTCCCTCTTTAGCGCGGCTCTCTCGCAGGTCCTCAACAGATGGCATCATGCACTCCATGGCCTCCTGAGCCCCTTGTGACGCTGATGCACTCTTCGCCGTCAATTACATCACCGGCATCACAACGCCCCTCAAGCCACTTTTTTCTTCCTTTCCTCTTTGCAATGATCTGACACCGAGGCACAACTTGGTTGGTCCCCAATGCAGGAGCACTTTACAGCGAGAAAACACGAATGCACGGAAGGCACGAAGGCAAGAAACTAAGGGCGTGGCCGAACGAAAGCAAAGCTGGCGGCGGGCTCAAGTACATCAAGGTGCTTAATGACGAATTGGAAAAAGCGGTGGTGTCGTCAACGTAAAGGACAAGTCGTTCCGAGTTTTCTTTGTGCTGGTCAGCGTGTTCTGAAACCAGCGTGCAGCATTAAGGCCACCTACTGTACAAGTGAAGGCCGGGCCGCAATGCCAGGTTTTACTGCAGAGAAGCCTAATCTGCGCGCTGACAAAGCTTTGGTACAATATGCGAAAGGCATGGCAATGACTCCTTTGCGAACAAGCATTTTCCGCCTCTTTTTGTCGCTCTCCCCCACCAGGCTCTGGGTTCACCTCTCCGGAATTGGCCACCACGCAACCACCCCCTCACGCACCCCTTTTACTCACTTCGTTCGCTCCAACAACCTCAAGCCCTGCCTACCAGCTGGCTTTCGTGATATAAATTCACTTTTATCTCTCTATATATATATATATATATTTGTGTTGTTTAATACAAGTAAAAGCTCCTGGGACGACGGCATCAGGCATACAATGCTCTGTTTGCTCAGCCTGGCCATGTCTGGAGTCAAATAATCAAGCCATCCCTATGAACCTTTACTAGTAACAAGGTACCTTACTACTAGCAACAAGAACCTACTAGTAGCTCCTGTAGCAAAAAGCTACTAGAAACAAGAAGCTACTATGAACCAAACGCATCCAAAGCAACAGGCCAAGCTGCACCTCGGCTAAGAGTGCTAGCACTTCCTCGACCTGCGACTCCAAGGCAAGACAGGTCTCGGTCTCAGTATCTCAAGATGGACTAGCGGGAACAACGCTCTGCGTCTTTAAGAGCTCTGTGTAGAGAAAATGTGAGTGGAGAATGCATGCAAGTTAATAAAGTCTATTCTACAATCCTAAAAGGAGCAAGGACGCTACTAGTAGCTCCTGGCATTACTACTAGTAACAAGAAGCTACTAGTGACAAAGGGCATCGCTACTAGGAGCAAGGACGTCAAAAGAGAAAGTGAAAGCATCGAAAGGTGGCATAAATTCTGCGTGAACGGACTTGCGGAATCGATGTCCCATGGTCCCACCTTGTCAGCTGCAACCCCTGTGGACAAAGCCACGTTCAGCGCGAGGCTGTCCATAGCAACACCTCCAAGCACAAAGCTAGTAGCGTCCTTGTCTGCATACATCCCGACTCGATGGTGCCAACATCACACTCACCCTCGATGGTGCGAACATGAGGTGACGCACAAGCGATTTGTCTACATCGGCGATGCCAAGAGGTGCGGTTGTTAATTGTTCAGGCATGCGGGCGCCGCTATTGGACACTGCATGCATGCCCAAGAATGCTATGTAATGCATTGTTTCGGATCAATCTGAAGACCAAAAACAGGGATGTCAAAACCACACTGTCAGAAGCCATAGGTGTTCCGCCGTCGCCTTCCAGCCTTACACTTCATCGTCATGGTGGACCTGCTTGATTCCAAGGCAGCCTTCGAAGAAGGAGCGTTTCTGAGGTCCAGTCTCGGACTGCTCAGATTGGAAGGCTTCATACTGCTGCTTAAAATCGTTGATGTTTTCCGTACCAGTCTTTTGGAGTCGGCTGGGAGGAGAACCGGTGATCCAGAAATACGCGGCTTCTCGCCAGGACAGCTTGAAGGCCTTCTTGGCCATCCATGGGTTCAAAGGTCCAAGGCCTGAGACAAAGGCGAAGACCGACATGGCAAAAATCGCTGCCAGGACTTGTCCTCGGACGTAGTACCGGTTCGTATTTTCGCCACACCCGAAAATTGCCATTGGCCCAATGACCCGAGCCGGATTCAAGGCAGCGCCTGTGTACTGGCCACCAGAACCTGCACATGCGAAAAGTGCCAATCCAACTGCTAAAGGTGTGTGGCTTCCATGCCCGGGCTTTGCGATTCCACATGCATAGACACAGGAGATCAGTGTGAAAGTCATAACGCACTCCCACCACATCACCTGTTCGCCTGTGACACCACCCTTTGGGCTGAAGCAGCCCGGACCGCCATCACCCATCT